GTTCATATTCAAGCTTCTCTATTTGTTTAGAGTACGATACAATAATCTTAGTAATTGCAAATGCAATGGAGATGTTTCAATGCAGGAATTGTTGTGTCGTGTGGGAAAAATCATTGTGATATAATCCTTGGACTATACTTGTACTACTAGCTAAGACTCAAACCTAGCATTTCAAAGTCTAAGGCGTTAATTTTCAAGAGATTTCCGTGAAAGATCATGGAGGTATTGTTCGTGGCTTATAGACGAAAGAAAAAACTTGATGTTATAGATTGTGATAGGTTGAGGATATTTAATTGATCTAGGATGGCTAAATACAAAGTTGAACCAACTTCTTAGACGAAACGTGCCAGGTTATTGGCAAAAAAAGTCAAATCTTTTGAAATAAGAGTGTGACAATGTATTAGAAAAAGAAAAAGAAGGAAGGAGGTATTGAAATACAAGTGTGAGTTGTGTTAGAAAAGTTCTACATCGAAAAATTTGTGCGGGGTGAAGTAATTAATATATCTCAGTTGGCACATAACTCATCGGCTGAAACTTTTGAGTGAAAATGAGTCAAACTGGATATATTGACGAACTAGGATTTGAGCTACCTCATGGCCACTTTCTTGAGTAAAGATATCGAGCTAAATGTATCGAGCTTTTGTTGCATACTCCCAACGGGAGGAAAGAAGCAAAGACAACAGAAAAGTGATAGATAGATGTTTGATTCAATTTTCGATAATCTAAACCCATTAGAGTTGGCATAGTTGATTGAGACGAATGAGGAGATCCCCAACTTTGGAATTGGAGATTGCCCACTCAAATATCGCTTGCTGCATACAAACTAATCTAGATCAGGCGGGCCACTGTGCCTGTATCTTAGGGTCAAGCTACATATTCGAAAAGACAACTATATAATAATTTATTGATGACTTTATTGAAAGTGAAGAGGAAATTAGGAATGAGAAGGACAAGGGTAGAAACAATTTTTAGAGTCATTTAGCAACTTCTTTCACCCTCATTATTCTTCAATTAATTGAACGCAAGGGCATGAAAAAAAAAAAGGGGAAGATAAATAAAGAAATATTTACCATGATCCGGCTATAAATTCCATATAAATGCCCACGACAAATTACATAAGCATCAATTCATAGATGAAGGGGGGGTCCTCAATCAAATCTTCACCAAGTTTGGTCTGATAATTTGGTCACATGTCCCTCCACAAAGATTACTTATTGATCAACTTGGTATTTTTTAATTAATCAATCTCTCCCAAGATCAAACCACTATCTATACAAGATCATCCAATCTTGAAGATCCACCCCCATTTTTGCAATAACACATTTCCACTTTTGCTTCGGCGACTAGATTGTCATGGAATGATCCCTACTAGAAAGGGGCTACACATTGAACGATGACTTTTTTGGGCACCTGAAGTGTGTTCTTAGAAAGTGGAAATCTTCGTGTCTTCCATTATGATCTCTTGCCTTACAGGCTCCCCACCTCATCCACCGCACCAGCCAACAATTTCCTGTTCCTACGTGGCATTTAGCTATACCAGATTTAAGTTCGGCCCATGTGACCGTCGGGCGACGCTAAAGTTTCACGTGAAAAACGTTGGAATGTAACCACAACCATTTTTTTGTTTATCTTGCTTCAAAACTTGCCCCCTCCATGGCTAGTCCTGGCCTTTGAAACGTCTCTTTTTCTATATTGACCTTTGGCAACTACAAAAGTCAACTTTTTAGGCTCCAAACTCACTTTTTATTGGTTGAGATAGCATCGGAGTTAAAGTTCAAGTTGAGGATGTGAGCCACTTCAGTTGAAAAGCATCGTCAAACCCAAAAGTCCCATGATAGTTCAAATCTAATTTCTTATGCATTTCACGAAAACGTGATCATAATGGGAACGAGATTGGACACCAATTTGGATAGAGAAACACCTCTTCCTAGGGTGACCGGTACTTTTGCTACTTTACATTAGGACCATTTCCTCCAACCACCGTTCTGATAAGTAGATTACAAGTGTGGATGCTGATCACATGCTAAATCAACTAATTTTAAATGTAGGTGATGTCCGTGATCTTAACCCACCGACCAGAATGGCAGTTGAATGAGCTCTAGGGGTTGGAGGAAAATACGGCCCTTGATTTTCCTCCAACCCCTAGAGCTCGATCAATGGTTGTTATGTTTTCCCTCATCCTTAATTAGAGGAAACTTCCTGCAATTGGTCTTTCGATTGGTGAGTTATAAATATGCACATCACTCGCATGTATTTTTAATTAGGTTTGTATATGGATGATGTCCATAACTTGTCATTCCCATTGATCAAAGATATGGAAAAATATGTTAAATCTAAAGTTGATTTGTTTTCTTATCCTATTAGATTTTCTCTTTGGTCATCTTATTTACATGCTAAATGGGAATGCGGTGGCTCAACATTGCATCATTGACAAAACAAAAGTTCTCTGGGCGATCTCCTAGATTTCTATCTCTAGAGAGATAGGAAGAAGATTATACAACAAGGAAGTCCAAGAGCTCCCGTGGAACCAACTTTCACATAACAAAGTTTTTCTCACAACGTCTATCTCGATATCTCAAATGCGTACTAATAGATAGTAGGTCAACGTCGATTGAAACCGGATTTATTGACTAAATTAAAGATCTTAGACTGTGTAAGTTGGATCTCACGTTCACGCAAGGGATTGTTCTAAGAATGTTATCCTCATTGACAATATTGCAAATGACTGCACAAAAAAAAGAGAGACATTTGCAGCAATTTTTCTCTTTGCCATGCTATATCTTCTTCAAATCATGTCCTAGCTGACGCAGAATGGATATTCGGTCAAATGAATGAAATCTAAAGCTGACATTTTTTGTGGGAGTTTCAGGGTGAGTGGATGTACAAGCAAGTGCCACCAACTTTGGATCAGGATCCAATGAGAGCCAAGTTACAAATTAGACAGAATTGGGAGATTTCATATAAATTGAAGTGTCCTTTGGTTGGGTTAATTTTGGTTTATAAGACATCCAACGTGTCATATGCAAAATTTTCTACCAAAATAGGAATACCATTAGAATTAGTGGATGACTTTCATCGTTGACTTTGCATGTTAGCATTCAATAGCTTTTAAAGATTTGGATGCTTAGATTAGGAAAAAGTCTAATTTCAACTATAATTCACTTTTTGTCAAAACCCTAAGGCTATGTTTGGTAGTCCGGATAGGATAACAAAATATCATATCCGGTATTTGGCAATGTCTTCTAAACCGGATAAACCCAAATATAATCACAAGGACCCCTACCGTGCATCCATCCTTGCCTCCAACCACCACCAATCGTGATCACTGTCCAACCAACCGTGCTCTAATGACTAAGGGTGAAAAGGAGAAGTTATACGTCACATGGCCATCACTAAGAAGAACTCGAATACTTTCAGGAGTGCATTCGAAGGATCTTGTTGTCCACAACATAGGCGTGTTCTCCCTTGTTACTCGCTATCCCAGTGCCATTCACTGGTGGATCTCTATCCACCATCTCCGCCCCTCACTACCCAAAATCGTCGGCTTTGACGTCAAGTGGCACCTGAGCTTTGCGTGCGACGTCCACCATCACGTCGCCACCCTTCACCTCTATATTGGCCATTGTTGCCTCGTCTACTAGATCGCCGTGGCTGCTACCTCTTCGGTCACTTCGTGACGCCCTTTGTGACTCGAGGCTTGTCTCCGTCGACATTCGAATTGCCTATGATACAATGAAGCTGAGCGAGGACTACGGTCTAGAGGTGGGATTGGCAATGGATCTGGCGAAATTGGCAGGGAAGGAGACAAACCGGAGGGAGCTAGAGAGAGCAAGTTTGAGACGCTGGTGAGGGAGCTCCACCAGTGAGATTTGGATATCGCAAGAGATGGTGCTGGACAAGTGAGATTTAAAAAAAAAAAAAAACAATCTTTTCTTGGATTGCAGCAAACATATGATGGGATTTTCTACAATTAAGAAGATATTTGGAGAATTTATAATCCGACCTTATCCTACCATCCCAATCCAAATCCAGACTAGCAAACGTAGCCTAAAGGAGTTTCATGGTTTTGAAATCTTTAGAATCTCGATATTTTCTATGAGAAACTGGAATATGATAAGGCATCGCCGATCACTCTAATTAATAAACTTTTGTGCTTGAAGTATGACAATGCGTAAAGTGTAAGGAAACAACGACATCAAGAAGTTTAGGTTAACAGGGTGAGACAAAATATTACACCTAAAGTTTTTAATATAAACTTTTCGAATTTCCTTTGCTTAAAAATCAGAAAAATTGTGGGACCTAGAGGAAGCACATTCAGCGCTACGATTGAAAAGAACTCCTATGAGTAATTGGAGGAGTCTCGATGCTTATCTTCCGGTCTCACATAAGTAAAGCTACTTTCTTGAAATTACACTGATGTCACATTGAGGCCTAGTCTTTGCCAGGCCCAGCCCATCAAATGAGCTAAAGATTAAAACGCATCAAGTTTATGATTAGGTCTACTAAGTATGATTCGATAGAGATCATATAACATGTAACTACTCTTTCGACTATGGAGCAAATGAAAATGTGCAATGGTCGAGGCTTGATGACCGATATAGACTCGAAAGGAGCTAACGAACATCGGGAGTGCTTGAGAGACCTGTTAAAGAACCCGGGTCATTGAGTCCAATTAAAGAGCTGGCCGGACTCGAGACCCGGCCGACGTCTCCAATGCAAGCCCATGACGTCCTGCTTAAAACACACACCTGCCCAAGAAACATGAAGACTTGGAAGTCAAGGCATCAACAGAAGTAAGATTTTTTTACTGAAGAGTAACTGATTGTATAGCTAATAAAGCATAACTCTCACATCTGAACTGAAGTGCCAGAGAGCAATGCTTGGAATCTTATTACTTTTTCAGTGCTTTCAGTAGCCAAGTCTTCTAAGCTGAGTATAAAACTTCCCGTTTTACTTACTAAGCATGAGAGAGAGAGAGAGAAAGAGAGAGAGAGAGTTCCTGGAAGCCAGAGTGGATGACATTCATGTCCAGAAGTAAACTGAGACAACTGAAAACAAAAGAATTTCTCAAATTGTACATACAAAACAAGAACAAATACTGACACCCGTGCTATGGGCATGTTGCCTATAAAATCCTTCTCTACCTGGTAAAAAAACTATGAATCTAAGTCCTTCAATTGGATATTTTACCCCTTTCTTTTGTTCGAATGAAGCTATTTCGTTTTCCAATTTTAAATATCTTCTTCAGGGAACAACTCCTTGAGCAAAGGAGAAATCCACTGAATCTGTATATAGGTGATGTCCCAAAGATCATCATCTTCCTTCTGCACCAGGATCTCACTCTCCTTCATCTTTGTGATAATCTTCCTCAGCAAATCAGGGACCAACTCCTTCAACATTGCGGACTCGCCATATGGCCCCAAATTAGCCTTCATGCAGGTGTCCATCCTCCTCAACACTCCGAGCCAGAATGTCCGAAACCCGGGGCTCTCTGAGATCTGCTTCAGGAACTGCAGGTACACACTGGCCAGGAGCTCCATGGCAATCTTCAAAGTCCCTTCCATGCTCCGCATCTCCCGCTCCGCATTCTCACGCCGCGAGTACTCCAGCATCTTCTCATGCAGGTCGTCGACCATTGCAAAGATCACAAGGTTGAAGCAGTTTATGCAGTTAGTTGAGGTGAACTCAAGGTCCTCCGCTAATGCAAAGCTCCTCTGGAGAGAGAGAATGGCGTGGTTCCTAATCTCTTCCCGGCGGGCCAGGCTCGTCTTTCGCAGCGCCTCACCTAGCTTGATGAACAGGTTCAGCGAAAAGTTTGAGGAGCCTAGGCCTTTTAAGTTGTCCTCAATCGAGGCTGTGCTGTAGTTATTTCCCACATCGGATAATCCGTTCCTGTGCCACTGGATCAATAGATTCACGGACTCGGACAACAGGTCCAGTATTTTCAGGTTCTTGTCGAGCGGACTATTTTTGAGCGCCACAAAGCCAAATGCACAGTCGATGCAATATGCGTAAGTCGTCCTTGAAACATGTGTTCCATCAGATAAAAGCATGATCAGAGTCTCCACTCCTTGGTCATACGTCTCCGGGTGTCGGCCGGTGACGGATAGCAAATGGAGGACCGACTTCCATCCAAGCTGGGTTTGTAAATTCGCAGGGTATTCGATGAGGATCCTGCTAACTGATTTCGTTATGACCTCACCACACGTGTCGAGAATTTCCTTGTCGAGCTTCCACATCAAATTGATTGACCTGAAGATAAGCTCCTCGGAAATGCTGTCCTGTTGAGGCTCAGCAAGGAGCTTGAGACAGACTTTTAAGAGACTCAACATGGCCTTTTCAGCGAACGGAATTGGAGAGAATAGAGGGAACTGTGCAACCGTTAACAGATTCTCATGGAGAGAAGCCCAGAATATAGAGAATCGATGAATGTTGGCCAATGCGATGGCAACGATCAGTTCCCAGCAGAACCCAACCGTCTCTTCTTCTTCAACCGGCGTGCTGAACTTTTGGCCTTTACCAGCGGCTGCAAATATTAGGGAACGCCCGAGGTTTAGTATAGCCTCATCAGGAAGGCTCGAACTGTTTGTAAAGATGTTCCCGATCCGGCATTGCCTGATAATTTTCACGTTTTGTTCGAATTCGCTCAAACCGAGACTCAGAGATTCTTCCGCGCTGTCCAGGGAAAGAAAATGCGAGAACCGACCCATCATGCCGTAGTTATGCTGTGCGCCGGGTCTAAAATCTTGGTTAGGGTTAACTATGCCCGACTCACATTGCGTATCCATTGCAAGGTCCGATGATGAAGTGGAAGAGGCATCTGTTTCAACCACCGATTGTGGAAGTAGCTTTAGTCTTTTCAGCTTCAACAAGCAGTCGATAATATTCCTCCACGCCCCACGAATCGAGGACCCAAAGTTGTTTGCGATGGTAAAAACAGCGAGAGTTGCCATTCTTGGCTTTAAATCATGGCTAAAAGCGAACAGAGTTTCTTCGGCAGAGGCGTACGGGTTCAGGAACGTGGTGAATTTGCAGAAAGAAGCGAGGAGCTCGTCGAGTGTGTCTTCTAATCCATATTGAGCTATTCTAGCTATTGAAAATAACCCTTCGACACACTCGTGAAGAAACTCATCCTCATCGGCATGCTCAAAACACGCACAAAGAGTTGCCACCGATGGTCCTGCAATTGTTGCGAACATATCCCTGCCCAACGTACTGTTAAACTTGCACTGGACGTAAGGATGAACGGTCTTTGATCTGTTCATCAGTTCTATCCATCTGCTCGGGCTCATCTCGATGGAAATTCCTGATTGGCCATAGAGCCTTATTGCATTACTCGATATCGAGTAAAATAGCTCCGAGAGGTACTCTCTCGGGAGATCACTGCCCTCGTTAATCCCTCTGTTGTTTCTTATGAACTCCTCCTCTGTCATTTTCTTCTTCACTTGGGGATTGTGTTGGTCAGTGTTGAGCATAATGAGAGAATAGCAAAGAACAAAAACCGCATCCTTGCTGACAAAAACCTCAGCGGACTGCTGATCGAAGAACCTCTCTGAGAACGCCTCGAGGACCCGCTGGATCTTCTGAGCTTCTCCCGGTAAACGGAACGTCTCCAGATAAGTTCTGAGAGCCGTGTCGAGAATCATGCCTGCGAATTCAAAAGTGTCTGTGAATTCCTTAAGGACTCGAACATGGAATTCATCCGGGTCACCAAGATAATCCCCGATCATGTTCTTATCGAGGCCTGCAGTGTAGCGGAAGAAGAAAGCAAATGCCTTTGGATCCATAGGGTCATACACCAGGCGAGAAAGCTTCAGGTACTCTATACCCTTCCTTTCGTCACGGTTAAAATGGTTTCCCGCGATCATCATTTTCCGTTTCTGTGCTTTCCTTATTCTTGCCGAGTCCACCCAGTTCTCATCCTCATCTTCGAATTTCTCTACCCAAAAGGGTCTGTATTCTGTGATTTCGACTGCATGTCTTGCTAACGTGCCCGAATTCTCTTCACAGTTGATGTTATCTGCAATGTTGTGAATCACTATAACGAGCCCTTCGAACGCTTGGATTTGTAAACTCGTCAACGGATTAGATGTTGGAAAGGCATGCTTGCACAGCAACTTCCCCATTTCTTCAAAGACATTTCGGCAAGTGACGTTGCAGTCGTAGTTCACATAGGCTTCGAATATGAAACTAGGCTGCCTACAAAAGTTTATGATTCCTTCTATTGCAACTTCCTGGAGTTGAATCGAGGTTGCGAACATTGCGACTCTCAACAGAACAAAGCTGAAGAAAGCCTCCAACTGCAAACGGATAAACCTGAAAATTTAGAACAAACAGCTCATTTATCCCACGACTTTCATCATTATACAGAAATGATAAAGATTAATAATTCTTCTAAAGTCAGAACCTGCGTAGGAAATGATAGATACTCAATATCGTGCTGCAAATCATAGCCAAAACTAGTTGGCTTGAAGACATTCCGTAATGGATCAAATGGTGAAACAAGTCATCCTGGATCATTCTTAAAAGCTTCGGGTGCTTCGCGACTGCATCTCCACTCAAATCGATCGCAGAATTGATTAGAACCAACGCAAATAGCTGGACATCTTCATCGGTGGTGTGAGATGTGTTCCCTTCTGTTTCCACTATTTCCACCACATTCAGCAACGAGCACAGGAAATGAAAAATGTCTACTGTGCATCTAACTCCATATCCAGAATCCAAATTACCACCGACATCATCGGTCTCCGACTCGGAATTATTTTCCCCATCCCTACCATCGATCTCAGGCAACCGTGAAAATATGATCTGGATCAATTCGTGCATCGTGTACCTCGCGTTTCGCTGAAGCAAATCCCCTCTGCTCGCAGATTGTTGCACGACTTGAAAGCACGTGTTGACAATGGTGCAAACGGCTTGATCGGGGAGAAAAACCGAGGCCCGATGCTTCATGATGCCTGCAAGGACCTGCAAAATCCGCATCATGACCGCCTCTTCGGACCCCGAATCAGTCCTCTCGAGGCGGCAATTCACGGTCGCGGTGACGATCGAGTTGATCGCGTCCTTCGCGCCGTGCGTCTTCTCGTCGAACATTTCCAACTTGAGCATCTTCAAAATCGACGAGAGGGCGACGCCGGTGGCGGCGGCTGGAACCTCGTCGCTCTGGACGACGTCGAGGAACGGGGAGAGATAGATCGAAGGGTCGATCGCCCGCCATTCCTGCTGGGGATTGAAGATGAGGGTGCGAAGGGATTTCAGGGAGTGCGCGATCGAGGAATCGTAATGGTCTTCTTGGGTAGGGAGGAACGGGCCGGCCGGGTCGAGGGGTCGACGGATCACGGCGAGGATGGCGCCGACCTCGGTGTTGAGCATGCAAGAGAGGCCGAGCTCCTTCCGCTTGGATCGGGGGCCGGGCTTGTCCCTGTCCTTGCATTGTGAGGAGTCCTCTTCTTCTGGAGCTGGCTGGGTTAGCTCTTCTGCCATTTGAGCGCTGAGGGGACAGAGAGAGAGGGACACAGAGAAAACAACAAAAGAGAAAACGGTTGAGATTTAAAAGACGGTTGGAGATGAGAGGACTAAGGAGTGCTGTGAACTCTTGGCGGGTAATTCTTGGAATGGCCCCATCTTCTGTGGAGGACCACATCTGTCCCCCAACTTTTCCTCTCTCTCTCTCTCTCTCTCTCTCTCTCTCTACAGTGGCATCGCTCTTCTATTTCACAAAAATTTACCTTTAAGAGCGATGTTAAGGCTCCGTTTATCGTGCGAAAATTTTTTTCCGGCATTTGGATCGCTTAGAAAGATGAGCCAACAGAACATCTATGCTTAAATTCAGGAAAGTGATTTCATCTTTAAAAATCGAAAATCATTACAGCACGGGAAAACATTTTCCGTTAACTTAATGCTCTAAGTCTAGTTCTATACGCAAGGAAAAGAGCTTATAACTAGATCATCTAGACCGGCATATTTTGTAATCTATATTACGACGTAGTTGTGTCCCGACGCCCAGATCATCACCTTGCTTTCAAGCCCCAAAAATCCATTAGCATGCGAAAGATAAACGAGGCAAATTCGGCTTAGACGAAAGCCGATAGTTTAAGGGGCTACGGAGAAATGAAGATGAAAATCAAACAAAGAAACGGGAAAAACAGAACTAATCTTCATGATTGAGGACATGACAAAGGTGACGAACACGAGATTTTTTTATTGGATTTTTTTCTCGCGAGATCAGTCGGGACGTAAATTTGAAAAAGAAAGTTGACCAATGATGCGAGTAAATCGCATTGTTTCAAGTACAAATTAACTTTTCTCCTGAGCAATCAGATCATACATTTCGTGCATCATTGTGATGCACAAGCACAAGCACATACAGTAAGCATTGCAATTACGGACACAAGTGCTTATGCACATTCGCTCCGCAACGCCTAACATAAGAATAAGTAGAATTACCGCAGTGCCTGACCCTGATCCAAGACAAGAAAATTTCGTATTTACCATAGAAGTAAACCGGTCAAAAGCAATTCACAAAAAAAAAAACGAACAAATCTAATTTGACATAATTTCACTGAGAAAACTAATAGTTAGAGGTGACGTGAATTATGCTCCGCCAGCATGAGTACGTTAACAAAGCTGTAAATCTGGTCAGTCGGAAAAGCACTATTCATCCGGAGCCAGACCACGCTATAAGAAATGCAGTTGAGATCACTATCCAATCCACAACACGAAATCCTCGAATTTGCTCATCCACTTCACGAGAATGGTTATAAATCACATAAGGTCATACTTACAAAATTTACATTAGCACCAGCCCACGAGTCATGGTTACTTAGGAGACGGGTACAGGCTCTTCAATTCGTGCCAGAGGCAAAAGAAAGTGTCGAGAGCATCTTCATCGCCATCCACATTATGCCCTCCAGTTTGTGCTACAGATAGTAGTGTCTTTAGCCACTCTTCATGAAGGGTCGAAAACTCCAACCTCTGCTCGCTTGATTTGAAACTTCCGCCAACCGACATCTTCATAAGTCGGCCAGCCTTCGAAGCAGATTCAACCACCTGTTGCGGAATTCCAGCCATACAAGCTACTTGCAAGCCATAACTCTCAGGACATGCCCCGGACGAAAGCTTGTAGAGGAAAACCAGCTCCTGGTCGCTCTTGGAGTGATTTCCACAGTTCGACTTAAGAGCACAGGCCATGTGTTGCAGGGTAACGCGTGGATGAGAGCCAAATTCCTTTGTCAGCGGGTGGTAGTGTGTTGCAAACAATAGCCGGCAATTAACCTTCTCAACAAGATGCCGGAATACCTGACGAGATATTTACCATGGTTCTGAGTGAAGGCTATAACATATGTATGAAGCAAAGATTCTTTGCAAAGAATTTTGCAGCCCTTTGTCTGCAGAACAATGCAGTTTAGATCCATATCCTGGTAGAAGTTGGTAGGCAACTCGTGGAGCTTATTAGCTTAAAAATTCACACAAGTTTGGGATTAATAGCAAGAGATTGTAACTCTAGTATATGATTTGCACTCATCTAGAACTAGTTATGGCCGCAGATGATAAAGATTGCTTAGTCCGCATACGTAGCTGTACTGGATGATGGGTGAACAGGCTTTACGATGCATGACACTCGTAAGGCAGGAGAGAATTCTTAAATTTCATGAAAATGAGCGGAGACCCTAAGTAATAGATTACTGGAAGTAAATAATAGAAAAATAAAAAATCCCAAGGCCAAGGTCTTACAGCATAAGCAATGGCATAACCATCAAAAGTGCTTGTCCCTCGACCAAGTTCATCAAGAATTACAAGAGAATCTTCAGTGGCATTTTGAAGAACTGATGCTGTTTCTGTGCACTCAACAAAGAAGGTACCTGTCGCGGAGAGAGAGAGAGAGAGAGAGTTATGATACAAAACCTTGAAGATTCAAAAAAGTGCAATACGAGTCGTTAATTGTTGGTCATATGCTCTTTTGTCCCACCGACAATTATTGATTCACAATCCTGGGGAAAATCTATTTAGTTAGTAGACCCATCAGTCTGCTCAATCTTCCTCAACTTTTACCATGAGAGTATAAATCACATGCTGAGGATCCACAATGAGTATTTCTCAATTCAATAAGTTGATTTGATCTCACCAACCGACTGGTTCCGCGATTTCTTATTGGCACAGGCATCCCAAGGAAGTGAGAGAAAGCCCACTCCCCTAAAGATTTATGATGCAGGTATCTTGACTTATGTCATTAGCAAGGCATAAGGAAGAAAGAAAGAATATGTGCGATAGCCTCACACACAAAGTACCACTTAGTCCCTGATTCGCCATACCCAGCACATAAGCTGTTTCGAGACTTGTAGATTGAAAAATAACAAGTTAAAATCAGATGATACTGATATTTCATTAGAAGGGAACTTACTCTCGCCAGCCATTATCCTATCAGTGGCACCGAGCCGTGTAAAGATGATGTCAACTGGGGAGAGTATACACCTCTCACAAGGAACATAACATCCCAACTGCAAGTCAACAAGGTAGATCAAGAATCAAGAAAAATGAATTCAGAACTTTAAGGTCACAGTCTCACAGATTGCTATTTTCATTTTCATTTGGAAATGACTTAAGGCTCTAAAAATATGTTTTAACCTTTCTTAAAATTGTTTGCATCTAAAGACATATAAAAACCTTTTTAAAAAATATAACTAAAGACTTCGAACAGCTTATTTTTCATGTCTTGTCCAGTTGTACTCCTAAAGTGAGGACTTAAAAACATGGACGGAAAGGCTATTTTCACTTAACATTAGTCTCTTCCTCTTGATCTACTCATCTCAGCACAACTGTTCTGCGAATATTCAGAAAAGAATGCAATCAATCGTGTTAAATTTATTTTATGTATTGTTTGCCTAATTGCTACCCTTCCTTTCTTTTGTTCTTCTATCAGATATTTCATACTTTCAGTGAAAATGCAGATGTGTGTTCAGATCTGTCCAGCCTACAATTTCACTTTATTTGATAGAGCTCCAAAAGGCTTCATTGAAGGTTCAAGAAGCTTTTATTAAGCTCCTCGAACAATTGCCAAGACTATTTCAAAGATTCAAGGTAGTATCTTGCTGAAGCTTTGAAGCTTTAGTAAGGCTTCAGCTACACCGAAGTTCTATTGAAAGAGCAGCTAGCTCTTATATGAAGAGGAAAAGATACAAAAGGAAAAGCTTCATATATACTTGTGTATTGGTGAAAAAAAAAAAAACAATGCTTGCGTTTATGGGGGACCTCGTGAGTTTTGAGAATGATATTTTATGTGACAGATAAATTATGTGTCTACTAGATTTTCTTTTTCAACCAAATTTGAGATTAGACTGAATTTTGTAATTTTTTCCATCTCATAAGAATTGTGTTTGAAAGGTATTTTCACAATTTTGATATCCTTCAGGAATATTCATTTTCTTCTACCAAGTTCTCAAAAAATAGTTATTTTAATTCCTGTTTCCCAACAAAACAAAAGAAAACCTTTTTCCAAAAACCAAAAGCAACCTAAAGAGCTTTGGAAATGCAAAAGCATCTAGCGATTAGTTTTCTTGCATTACATATAACTTTGTACTATAACTAACCTGGGCAAGTATAACAGCAAGACATGTTGCCCTCAAAAGTGTTGATTTTCCACCCATATTTGGTCCAGTCAACAACAATGTATGAGGATGATAACCATCTGTATCTTCACCGAGAAGTATGTCATTAGGTACTGGCAATCCTCCATTCTCAGCTAAGGCAAATGGATGCCATAGCCCTGTAATCTTAAGTATTGGTCCCTTGGCCTCTGGGCTGAAGCACATTGTTTTTGATTGAGGCAAAATGACAGGTCGAGATGAAGCTCCAAGTGAAGATGTAGCAGTGAGTGTAAAAGATCTCAATACATCAATACAGTTGATGGCATGAATGACAGCAGACCATTCGGGGGCTTTCTCAACAAATAACTCAATCAGAATAGAAAGTGTTTCAGCATCTGAATCCGTTACATTATGGTCCTGTTGTCAACACAAATTTGAAAAAGATAGCAATTTTGAGCAACATAAATGGTTTCTGCAGAACATACCCCAAAAGTATATCTGATAAAGTTAAACTGCGAAAGACCAATTAGTCCAGTAGCAAATTACTAGCATAGAAGCAGAAAGGTCTTTTTTCTCTGGAAGAGAGGAGACAAAGGGCTAAACTTGTCTGGACTTGGGTCAATATGGATCGTGTCAATCACAGCCCTTCATCATGTGGGTCCCATAAACAAATTTATGGTTGTGATTGCATATGGTCCATGGACCATTGCAAGTTCCTTTCCGAAGACAAGACAGTAAATCTAGGAATTAATGTCAATTAAAATAAAGAATCCCTCTTGAGGAATTCCTTAGATTGGATGGGCCAAACCGAGTACTCAAGTAGATGTATGAGGACATAAGTAATTCACTAGATATTTTCTTCTGTCTTGTTGGCCTATATGGTAGAAACAGCTGGGAGGGCCGGAGAGGCAATGGGTTCTCCAGTGGCAGATGTCAGCGGTTTAAGTATGCTTATCTCCAACTCATATATTTAGCCTACATTATCTGATAGAACACCACTTTTTTCCAATTCAGCAAACCCCACTAACATACCAAACCTCAAAAATGACTAACTAATCAGTCAGCTGTTAGATTGTCTATATAAACAGTTCGTGTATACAAAACATTATGTATCCTATTAAGAAACATTTGGCATGTCTCCCAAATTAATTGAGATAATAGTGAGGTGCACACTTATAAGGAAAGTTTCAAACATAGACAAGCACGATAGCGGAAGGAGATGGACCTGGTACTTTGGAAAATCACTATCAATGGCTGCTTCAAATTGGGTGAGATACTTATCGAGCCCATTGTTACCGCCTAAAAGTGGAATGTTGAAGACTTTTGACAGAGATGAGCTTATGTTCCTTTCTTCCTGTAATACCATTAGCAAATTCACTGCAGTCCGCATGCCTTTCACAAGAGACCCAAACAATTTCACCTGACAAAATAATATATTCAACGCATCAACTGTTTAGAAAAATGTGGAAAAGCAATTAAGAGATTGTTTTCGTTTCTTCATTATCAACACAAAAGATAAGGAGTCCAAAATATTTAAGCCAGCTTCTTGCCCATAAGGCCTGAGAGTCAAGACAACAGACACTAACTAAGCTGGTTAGGCATTAACCATGTATAATAATGACCTAAAATATAGCAGAGGGTACGGTTTACCATACAATGTACCAACCTAATTTCCAATAATCAAGGTTCACCCCAAACAGAAAATCTTATAAAGCTCATCGTCAACTTACCAAATTTTTTAGTAACTTTAGCCCAACCAACGGCAGTAACAAGGAGGCTGATAACTGAACGCTGGACTTGACCCTCCCAAGCAGCCTTTCTAAGTCTGGCAGTTTGTGAAGATTTTGAGCAATAAGAGACATTACTTCCGGTTGTGCAGCTAGACTGTCAATGACATTGAGTCTATTATTAATGCTCTCTACATCTTTGAGGGGATGACAGATCCAGTGTCTTAAAAGACGCTTCCCCGAGCAAGTTGTACAGTTGTCAAGGTACTTGTATAATGTACCTGAAAAGAAAGCAGATCAGAAGTATAATGCAGACACTAAAATTAATGATCGAAACAAATGTAAGAGTGGTACATTTTGTGTGCAGAAATGCAGTACATAGAATGTTACACTGAAGTAATTACTTACCTGATGTACCACCATCCGCACTGTTGCTGAAAATCTCAAGATTCACCAATGTCTGCCCATCCATTCTGAGGCAACCCTTATACACCTCATAAGGCGTGATATCCCCATTTTTCAAAACATCATCTAACTGCAAGACAACACCGTGAGTTGTAAACATTCAGAAAGAAGCATAAGAAGGTTATAGTTTTTCATGTTAAATGGCCATGATAACAGGCTTACCATCAACCTTGACATATGATCGATAAGACCACCTAATGCACATAAGGCAACATCATGTCGCACTACACCATCAAGAGCACAATTCGACAAGCTGGAACACCTCTTGAAGTAGTCTTTTGACTGAATCAAATTCATAACATCAGAAGAATTTGGGAAACCAGCAACCGGCATTACGGGAGTCAGTTGCACTGCCATATTGCCTGCAAGATAAAAACCTTCATAAACATTGAAGGCATGGTAATGCCCCTCACCATTACAAGGCTAAGGCGAGCATTAACATTGGTGGTTCCATCTCACACTTGACTGATGAGAAATTCGGAAGACAGAAACAAGTAAAGAAAAAGCAATACAGAAGAAATTTTTTTTCCAATATAACAGGTGATAAATTATCACGCAGAAAGCACACATCATGCCCTCCGTTAGAAATACACATACCAAGTTATACTGTTCATATTAGGGCTATTTATACAAGATTTTGTATTAATATCGTATCTAATATAATAATTTTGTTTAATGGGTTGTGCTATCTAATGAGAAATCACAAGAATACTATGCTTGTTTCCATGAATATGAAATAAAAATAAGGACAATTTAAAGGACATGAAATTAGTTCAAAATCAAAGTATTTTACCAGAGTATAACACTCTAGGTGTTTTATTCGTGTATAGTTCGGTCTACTCCAAAAGAACAAGTATTTTTTTGCTAGTTGAGTGAATGAGCGGGAAACTGAACTTCAATGAATAACATACATACAAGTATTTTACGTAAAAGTACGATCATTTACTAACAGAGGTCATGCTAGAAATTTCAACAGCCTTCCAAGTCTAATGCTTGTTTATCTCACCCATTAATGCAATCCAACTTCTCATGCCTTTTTATCGGATCAAATACCTCAGCAATATTTGCTTGCTTCTCACACAAAAGTTTGAAAACAACCAATGACGGCCATAGACTATTATTATGATTCACGTGATAAAGAATCCCGCAATCATTTTCAGCATACTTTTGCTCCAGAAAGTAAAACACATAAGTCAATACTGCCTATAGGGGAATGTAAGTTTCATCAAGAATATTATAGGACAAATACAAAATGGATGACAGAGATCTGCTCAATCCTGTGAGCCTAATGGTTTTGACATGTTAAGGAACCTACATTATTGGAATCAAGCAGGACACTGAAGTCCTAAATCTTAAGTCAAATTGCTTTAAGATCTATACTAAGAAGGGTAGAGAAATTGAATAGCAAAAGGTCAGGTTCACCATCTCTCACCTGTCAATGAGTACTTTCTGATTGCTTTCAATGCTTCTTTTGATAAACCTGTAATGTTCAGAGAATTCCGCATCATGTTTAATAACATAAATTGAACTCTTCCCAGCCCAAGGAGGAAAATACAGATTAAGGCACTCCTAGCAGGTGCCAATGCAAACTGACAAAGCTCATTACCGCCAAAGAAAAAAAAAACACACACTGTAAAAGAGAGAGAGAGCTTACTTCTGCTCTCATATATCACTTCCTTGGGTGCTACCTGCAACCAGATTTGGTTTAAATGAGTGATATAGTACATGCTGAGAATAAGAAGACAGAAATGAGTACCTGCATCAACAGAGCCCCCAACGCAGCACAAGAAGCATCATCATTAATGGAACCAACCCAAAACTTCAGAGCAGCACAATCAATGAAAGCAAAACCATAGGCAATTGAACTGCCATCTTGTCCATGCTCCCCCTAAAACAAAATAGGGTAAGAACACCAACTTTAGAAGCAACCTCACAATTTCACGTGCGGGGAAAATTTTAATAGCTACACTACCATCGACAAATTATCTAACAACTTTGTTTCATACCAAAATAAATTTCATTATCTGATGAGGACCTTTAGAATCATTTTGTTGATAACGAGCCTCATCTCCACATTGTTTCCAGGGATGAAAGTTATTGATTAACATAAAATGCATTACGACTAGCAAAGGTTGACTTCATGCCCAATTCATACATATCAGAGAAAGCGTGAATGCAAAAGTCTGCCTCTATGCTTCAGTTTTCATCAATGGCACTATGAAGTGCTTATATCATCTAGCGATAGAGGTGTGCAAATGAAACAAATCATGGGAGTATCCACTACTAACAAAGGAATAAGATTAAGAAGCAACAAGCAAAAGCAAGACAAGATAACACATATGCATCAACCTAGGTTACAAAATTTTACATCAAGCAATTACTAACCTCTTTTATTGCAAGAAGATGAACAGCATCAGGGCCAATGTTGCTATCCACTGAGGTTGATGGAGTAATCACATGAACCAATTTTCTTGAAATTACCTAATCCATGTGATGCAGTAAAACACTAAGGTGAGCACTTGAAGTAAAAGGAAGTGCAGCACACCAAATCGAACCTCCTTGCCCCGAAGTAAGAGATAGAAAATGCTTCATGGATTTGACATCAAGAACTCGTGACTAGAAGAGAATATCGAAAACTAATAGCACACTCAAGCTGGTGTAGTAGGCAAATAGGTGGTAAGTAGCTCATAGAACTTACTCAGAAGGCATGACAACAACAGACCAGTGCACCATCCATATGAACCAGTCACTTCACTATCTGAGCATCCATTAGAAGATTTTACATCTCACTCTTCTACAACACTAGTTTTAATTCATCTGCGCAAAACACCTAGTGAAGGCAACAAGCTTTTCAAAATCATCACATATTCTTGCCCTGAAGAAGCAAACGGTGCCTTCAATCTGACTTGCATTCCCGTAATTTGCACATCATGCGTTCTTCAAAGGCTAAACTCGGTGAAAGCTTCTTTCCAATTAATAGCAGAATGCAAAAAAGAAGTAGAAAAGAATGGAATTAAGAGGTGAGCAACAGAAGAAAGTTCAGGTCCTTGTCACTTCTTGAATATACTGTCATATCGTCAAAATTCCAACTCAACAACTTAAACTGTTAGGTAGAAAGAGACTATATGTATATGAGACAGATTACCACCACTTCTCACGTGCAGACCAAAAGAAGAACAAAATATGAAATTGGCAAACGGGAAATAAAACAGACAAGAACCACATGCCAACTGAAATATTATATGAGGTATGGAAAATTAAGACTTGGCTCTAATGCGTCCCAGAGAGTTCAACCCAAGAGACTAATTTATTGGGTAAAAGGAACCTATATGTATATAGAAGGCAGACAAATCCCATGAACAAGTGAAGTAACTATGGGATTCTCTAACCCATATGCTTAAGCCATTTTATCGAGCATACAGTGAAGGAGAGTGCATTATCGCAACCAATCTATGGTTAAAAAAGGCCAATATAGATACGAATTCTTCCTAACCTTCAATATGTCCCATCAGTTCATCATCCTCAAGTACAGCAAATAAGGCCACGTTACAGACCATTTATTTGAAAACATAAGCAAAGAAGAGAAACGGGACACTTACAGAATTTGGACCTCTGGCTTTTGCTTGTGCAGATGTCTCCACTTGCTCCATTCGTCCAACTTTATATCTTCAAAAACAGACACAGCAAACCTAATATACATTGATGCAGGAAAAGTAGACATGCAACACAGCACCAGATAAAGGTGTTCATCCTAAAAAGAATAGTCCATTATAACGTAAAGAGGATTCTAGAACCTATCAACACGGTGACTATGTCAGAAACAGATAAAGAAAACTCACTAATAACACAAACTCCTAATATTTTATCCATAAAGAAAAATTGGGGCAATTGACTAGGCTACATAATTATTATAGAAAGTAGGCCATTTTCTTACCCACGAGCAACCAGTTTCTGAACAGCATCGTCGATTCCACTCTCGGAGATTCCAACCTGGTTAGCAGGGTAGAGAAAATGAATATATCAAATTAAGCTCACTACTTTCTTGAGTAAATTGCGCACTTCTAATCGGTTCACAATATATCTAAAATGAGTTAAAAGATTCATCCAGAATACCTGCCGACATTTTCCAACACCACTTAATGTAATCTTCCAGTCAAGCTCTTTGTGACCAACGTCTGCATCCAGTTCATACAGCTCATAAAACTTTCCCTGCATCAAAAAGCATTCAATACCTTTTAGACATATGAGACCAAAGAAATATGCTGAATCATTACTAGAATTAGAGGGTGAATTCTGATCCAATAGCACAAGATGATTAAGTGACCCAAGACATGTCAAAAACTTAGGCAGAACTTGAAGCACATAGAGATTGGAAAGTACAAATAACTTTTCCTATGTGGAACAGATGTCTTGCCTGACATGCACCTAATGCACCAAACAAATATCAATGACTCTTTTTTATTATCAATTTTCAGTGAAGTGTTCTCCAATTGGAAATCTACAGTATGATCTAAATAATGTAGTATGAGAAGCAGAAGAAACTAACCACTTTAAAGAAAAGCACAACATCCATATATTGACATTTAACACTCCAATATTGTCTCTGACTAGCTGACATCTTGCTCAAAGCCTCAGGAGGTATGTAAAGCGTCCGCTTGTCATAGAGAGGATCATCAGGTCTTCTTCTGTTACCATCCCTAATTCGAGAAGGATCAAGCCATTCAAATTTGCTTGTAGGATCCTGTGTGTCTTTCTCATTCTTATTTGAGGGTTTGCAAATAGAGTCGGGAAGAATTTTCAACTTTTTGCCAGGATTGAAAGAGGATGAGTCATGTTTAGACTCGAACTTAGGAGTTTCCTCTTGAACTCGCTTAAATCGAGGCACAAGGGGTCGAACACCTGGTGTTTCGGGACCAAGAATGTCACTATCACTTTCAATTTCCATGAAACATTCATGATCGACCTTCTTGTTGAACTTGAAGTCATTGTCCGTTCTAGGATGTTCGCTGAGGTCACCGACTTTATCAAATAAAGGGGAAGCCTTAGATGTACCATAGTGCGACTGCGAATTGTTCCTGCAAAATATAAGAACGCAACTTTTAAGGAGCTCAACAAAGAAAAAGAAGCTAATTAGGGAAAAAACAAGTATCTATATATGTATGACAGTTGATGGACATAGAGGCATCACAATGCGCAGGATCAATATCAATACAACCGATGAGAACAAATAAAAGTAGCCCTTATCCACACACGCCCTCGCCAGGCACAAAAGGAAAAAATCCATAGAAGTTTTTTGTTACAGGAGTTATGGCGTTTGTTTGCCTTAGATCATTCCTAAACAAGAGCCTTATGCAGACTTAATACCTTCCTTGGAATGCAATGCAAGCATATGGGTTCTGACATTATGTGGCATAGTCAAAGGGATGCGAAGGAACTAGCACATCACAAGAATTTCAACCTACAGCATTGCTAAAGCAGGTATCACGTCATAAGCCTAAAATAAATTGCTTATCGAGAGACCGTAGCTTCGCAATGACACAGCTTGAACATAGGCCAATCACTAAAAAGCAAATTTTCACAAAATCAAACTAACATCTAGCTAAGTTCTATCAATGTGGTTTTCTCGCCAGAACACAGCAACCAAACTGAAAAAAAGAGTAACGCATATCATCGTATTCATCTCCACGCTATTCCTCAAGCTTAATCCAAGCAGAAACCCAGCTTCGAGCAAAAGTGCTCGCTAAAATTAAACGAAAAATAGAAGCAATACAACAAAGCAGAAGCACCAGACGACATAGAAAAAAGCATCCAAAAAATAACAAGCAAAACATCCCCGTCATTTCCCCGATGGATAGGGAAAACGCACCGATCGCTCGTCCTCTCCTCGCCGTCGACCCTAACGAACTTGCGCATGATGCTGGAGTACAGGGAGGGACCGCCGTCCTCGCCGCCCGACCGGAGGACCTGGCGCGGCGCCTTCTCCGGCGGAGTGTCGGTGCCGCGCACCTCCGCGGACGAGCCGGCCGCGCAATCGCCGGGGGCGGCGGCGCCCTGGAGGCCGCCGGAGCTCCGGCCGTCCGACGAGGGCCTGAGGAAGGAGAGGATGGACTTCTGGCGCTGCATCGCTGAGGTTTCTGGGCGCAGAAATGGAAGAAGAAGAAGAAGAAGAGAGAGAGAGAGAGAGAGAGAGAGAGGAGTGAGAAGAGGAAAGTAAAGAGTGGAACTTTGAGCGCGCCAATTTTAGCGCTCCCCGATTTTTCGAGGGCAGCGCCCCTCCGGTCGGACCGTGTTGGACCGGATAAAACCGAACCGGTTTTAGTGTTTATTTTTTTTTTTTTTTTGTTAATAGCACGAAAAACCCCGGACCGGTATACCTGTGACAAATTTACCCCCACCCAAAAACCCAGACCGGTACACTCGCAATAAATTTACCCTCCATTAGTTTATGTTAAATTAGATTAATTACCATGAAAAACCACAAATCAATATACATGTGACAAACGGAGGGTAAAAATCCAAACTGATACATCTATTAAGTATCACATGTCATCTAACTCGATAATTTGACGGTAAAATTCAACGAAAACTAACGATGATATATTTGTTACAGGTGTGTCAATTTGAGATTTTTTATGGTAGTAGATATACAAATTTGGGATTTTCGTGATAGTAACCCTTTTTCTTTGTTAAACTTTTAGTGCTTTTCTCGTTTGTTGATTTTGTGTATCACCGAGCGAGCACTTGACCGTTCTCCATCGGTTGTGGCGGTTGTCGCCATACCTCGCTCACATCGGATGATTAATAGAGAGAGACACACACGGGTCTCCAATTTGAAAGTGATCTCAGAAGAATGCCCATTTACGACGGTTCGAATTCATGCGTTAAGCAAGGCAAACAAACACACATATCACTCAAAATAATTCAGTGCGGCGGCCTGTAAAGCCCACCTTCGACCTTCGCGGCTCCTTTATCTTTCGATTTCCTTCTATTTTCGATCCCTTGCGCCTTACATTTCCCGCCAACTTACCCATGAGATTGTGCAGGTCCATAAATGATTCTACAACTCCATACTATTCAAGTCCTCAAGGATGAACTTATCAAACTGAGTCCTTTCAAATTTTCAGAGCCAAGGAGAGTTGAAGATGGGAGTGACAACAGACTTGACGTGAAGATACTTGTGAAGAGCTTCCAAGCCCATGTCCCTTCCGAAGCCGCTCATCTTGCACCCTCCGTAAAGCAGGTCGTTGTCGAACGCGAAGTAGCAATTGATCCAGATGATCCCTGCCCGGATCGACCGCGAGACGGTGTTCGCCACGTTAATGTCCTTTGTCAAAATTCCCGCCGCGAGGCCGTACTTGGTGCTGTTGGCTCTCCGTATTGCCTCTTCAGCAGTCCTGTACTTGGTCAGTTCTTTCATCAGCTAAATGTTTGTTGTTCACTTGCATCAGAACAGATAACCCAAATGTCTAAGGGGTTACAGAGTATATACTCACTTGAACTTCATGAGCGACATCACGGGTCCGAAAATTTCATCCTTCGCAATTGGCATATTCTCCTGATGTTTTCCGAGAAGATGACAAAAGCGCGAATCGGAACTTAAAATCCTTTTTTTTTATAATGTTTCTCTGTGAAAAGAGATCGGAATTTTTACCTGGACATTGGCGAAAATCGTCGGCTGAATGTAATGCCCTTTTGTGTCCAGAGGCTCACCCCTGTCAAAAGGGTGGCTCCTTCTCTCTTTCCGTGTTCAATGTATGAAAGTATTTTCTCGAACTGCTTCTTGTCGACCTGCGCCAATCGTTAAATCGTAAGTGATCATTCACATAATGTCGCTCATTCGATGCTGGCTATTTCAGTTCCATCGACTTAAAGTGTCTTTTGCTTATATATTCCAGCTCTAACCTGGCGTCCTTGACGGGAATTTGGATCAAAAGGATAGCAGATCGGCCAATTTTTCGCCTTCTCTACCAGCTTCATCTCGAACACCTGGTAGATCCCTTCTTGGACATAAACACGAGACCCCGCAACACATATTTCTCCCTGAAGTCAGAGAGTTAAACCGTGAGCTCTCTCTACTTATCACTCATTGGACTACGATATATCTTACTTGGAGGCATAGTCTTAAGCAGCTTACTTTGCTGTAAAGTACTCCGAGGAGAGCGATAGCAGTAGCTGTATCTACATCGGCATCATCGAAGACCAGAAGAGGTGATTTCCCCCCCAATTCAAGTGACACCGGCTTTAAATTGCTCGTAGCCGCCGCCTGCATTACTAGGCACCCAACTTCCGTGGATCCCGTGAAGCTGACCTTTATGTTTTCGAGACAGATAATTGAAGGTTCAAATCCGAAACAAAACAAAAGAATGGTCATCGTAGTTTTACTCGCATTTTATCGATCACAGACTATTAGGGACAGATAGCATCCATAAGATTAGAACTAGGAATTTACCATATCAATGTCCATATGATTGGTAATAGCTGCACCGGCTGTTGATCCGAAACCGGTTACAACATTGATCACCCCGTCCGGAAAACCGGCCTGATCAGCAAAACGACGAAAGAAACCCTCAAAAGTCAACACATTACGAATAAGACTTTAATGGAATTGAATGTAATAGGTCTTGGTGTAGAGTTTAGTTCCAAAATCAAAAGATGGAAGCAAAAGAATCCAATCTAGCAGAATCAGCATTCCCTCTGTTAGTCTAGGAATACAAAGCGCACTTCTAAGAATTGCCTTGCGATTGTCAATCTCCAAGAGAAGATGTCTTTGCCTCAGCTTCACATTTGGACCGCAATTGCAGGACTAGATTGACTTTCTTTCATTTTGGTTATGGAAAACCCGAATGCAATAGCTTCATGCCAAATATTCCCCTCTCTAAGAGGTGGGTAGGAATTCCTAGAAGGTGCTGCGAGATAAGGAGAATATGTACCCCAGCCCCCAACACTCACAGACGCTTAGATAACTGCAACTGAATTTGTAAGCAGCGCAGGGCAGGATGGACGAGAAAAGCGGCGAGAAGAAGACAGAGAGGGAGGGAGGACCTGCTTCTACTGCCTTCCCAAAGATAGAAGAAATCTAGAGGAACACATACATAGCGGTTCTGACCTGACTGATCAAAAAGCTTTTAAGAGAAAAACTATGTGACAACTGGGTTTGATATTGTGTTCTGCTGGAAAACTCAACAATGTCTTTCTTTCCAATCTCACAAACTTGAAATGTAAACGCAAAGAACAAGGTATCTGAAAATGGTTGCTTTACCTTTTTAGCTAGATGAGCATAAAAGAGGGCTGACAGTGGGGTCTGCTCGGCGGGCTTCACGACCATGGTGCAACCCGCGGCCAGCGCGGGGCTGACTTTCATGGAGAACATGTTGCTCGGGAAGTTCCATGGTATGATGTGCCCGACCACACCGATGGGCTAGCTCAGCGTGAACGCGTGGAGCTCGCTCTTCATCTTCAGCACCTCCCCCTGGACTTTACCTGCGGCACCCGCATAGTACCTCAGCAGCGAGGCGGCACGGGGAATGTCCAAGGTCTTGCCCCAGGAAAACAGCTTGCCGGCATCAATAGTGTCCAGAGCGGCCAGTTCTTCTATGTTATCGTCGATCAAGTCTGCGAATCTTGGCATGATCCGTCCCCTTTCCTGGTCATGACACGAGTACAAGTGACCCATAAATAGACATGAACAATCAAAGATAGCTGTTGATGAGTCTATACAGACATTATGTGTGATACTGGCAGGGGATCTCTCTTTTCGTAATAAAGACGAGCCCACATTTTGTATGATGTGTGCTATAGTTAGAACAGCAATATGAAGATACAAGGCACTTACGTAGCCGGACATGCGAGGCCATGGACCATGATCAAAGGCTTCTCGAGCCGCTTTGACAGCCAAATCAACATCTTCCTCGTCACCTTCTGCAACTCTCGCTATCACCTCTTCTGTTCTTGGATCGATCGTCTCGAAAGTCCTTCCTATTGATTCGTAACGAGGGGAAAAAGAAAACAAGAACCCAAAGACATGCACTTGTCACAATCGAACCGTTCATCTAGTACCCGGGCCAATGAAATAGCTCACTTGTATCATCAACTAGGGAAGATGCTGCAAGTCAAAACTCGAGTGGGATCGCGCCAAGTTTTATGTAACGATGTGCCCGAAATTGAAATACCTCAAGTGAAAACTTCTGTTTACGGAGTAGTAGTATTCAAAAGAACAAGTGACTCGCCGCGTACAACTTGTCTCCTAACTTGTCACCATTTTCCCTTTCGTGTTTGATGATAGATATGTTAGTTTTAGAACACTCAGGCTCTGTGGTTCTAGAAGATATTCATATAATTAAAATAAGTAACTCACTTTTCCGGACTGGCATTCTGACCAAAAAAATGCATAACGAATGTCATATGCGCAATTCATCTAAAGTACTTTCTTTCTTAAGAACACAATTTGAATCAAGATTTGTAATCCGTCCGTACTTGTCAAACGGATGGGTCGAATTTAGATAAGTCAAAAATGGGTCCAACCCAAAAGGGAAACAACATCGTATGGATGAATATGGTGCCGAGCTCTTCCATTTGTAGACCTCTTATATAAAGTTCACACGACAACTTACATTCAAGTCTCGTTTATTTTACGGAAAATGAATGATTTGAAAAATATTTTTCTAAACATGATAATTTGTGTATTGATTCAATGAGAAAAGTTTTCATTATCAACAGCACTTTATGTCTAGCGACTAAAGAGCTCTCGAGAAAACTTTACAGAGAGGGACCGAAGAACGATGAAGAGATGGAAATCCAACCACCTTTCACGGAGTTGACGAATCGGCCATTGATGAAGAGCTTGGTGAACTTGATCTCCGGAACATGCGCGCGCCCGGGCTTCGCGAGGCTTCGCGCTTCCATTATAGTTGCTGTGCTGATCTGCCATTACAATAAATGCGTCCGAGGTCTCTTGTTCGTTCTGGAGAGGGGTGGAATTCTTATACTCGTGGACTGGTGCTTCTTCGATTTGGCGTTTTTAGCAAAGGCATCTTTTTCTCTAGCTAACACCCGAATATAGATAGAGATATTGTATATGATTTCCTTAGGGAAAATTACCAAAAAAATTTTAAAGCTATTGCAATTGTGCCAATTCAGTCATAAACCCATTTTTTTTAGCCAATTCAGTCCTAAATCTTTTGCAATTGTGCCAATTCAGTCCATCCGGCCGGGCGGCGCTGACGTGGACGCCGGCCAGCTGACGTGGCAATATTTGAATATTTTTTTGAAAATTTTTTATATTTTTTCCTTTCTCTTTTTATTTTTTTCTTTTCCTTCTTCCCCTTGGCCGGACGGGCCAGGGGGAGGCTTGCCCTCGCCGGCACTAGTGAGGGCGAGCCTCGCCCAACTCTGGCGAGGGCAAAGCTCACCATGGCTGGGCGAACTCCGCCCTTGCCGCCGTTGGGCCAGCTCGACCTCGCCCAAATTTGGCGAGGTCGAGCTTCGCCATGGCTGTGGGCGAGGGCGAGCCTCCTCAGTGGTCGGCGAGGTCTTGCAAGCCCTAGGCCCTGGCCGGTCCGGCCACCGGATCGAGGGAAGAAGGAAAGGCAAAAAAAAATAGAGAAAGGAAAAAAATAACAAAAATTTCAAGCTCTGCCCTCGGCAGTGCTAGTGAGGGCGAGCCTCACCGTCGCACAACCATGGAGAGGCTCGACCTCGCCAGATCTGGGCGAGGTTGAGCTTGCCCAGCCATGGTGAGGTTGAGCTCACCCAGCCATGGCGAGCTTCGCCCTCGCCGGAGCTGGGCGAGGCTCGCCCTTGCCAGTCCCCAGTGCCCTGCGAGGTCACCTCGCTGGCGAGCCTCCCCCTGGCCGGTCCGGCCAAGGGGGAGAAGGAAAAGAAAAAAAAAAAGAGAAAGGAAAAAAATTCAAAAAAAATAAAAATATATTAAAATATTGCCATGTTAGCCGTCCGGCGTCCACGTCAGCGCCAGCTGGCCAAAAGTGGCTGGATGGACTGAATTGATACAATTGCAAAAGGTTTAGGGCTCAATTGACCAAAAAAAAATTTAGGATTGAATTGGCACAATTACAATAGGTTTAGGACTTTTGTGGTAATTTTCCTGATTTCCTTACGCCGGCTGTATAACAATGTGATTAGCTTCTCATTCTTAAACTAATTATGCCCAAGGGAGCGAATATGCTTGGAAAAGTTTTTTCATGTTTTGCAAGATTTGCTATCGTAGATGGCCATAATCAATGGGAAAGTTTCCAAGTAAGGGCACAAAGTGGGGATGTCCAGGGCCTTGGCGAAATAAACGCAACCTTAGACAAAATTGTCACTGCTCTAGTAGTTGGAAAAAGCTGCCAGCTAAGATTTGGTCGGCCGGCGAATTTGAATTCTCATTTGAGACAATATCCACTATGTACATGCTTTTGAGAGAATGACTCAACTTCAAGTTCTTATTCGAAAATTTTCCCCAATCAATGCGATGTGATTTCAAACAAACCTTTCAACGGGTGTATGGATATGATATGATGTAAGTTTGAGAAAACCTTGCAGCCCATATACACTGATAACCTCTAGCCTTGGCTTTAATTACATAATTTATATTAGATTAGATGACTGCTTAGACAAAAATATTATAAATATATGTTAGTATAATGAAAACTCTTGAGGATAGACAACAAAGAAATTGCGCACAAATGCTGCCCGTTTTGTAGCATAAACCCGTTAACATCATGTGGGTACCAAAACGATCTGCATTTTGTTACTTGTAAACTATACCTTATAATCATGTTTGATTTTGAGAAAACTTCGTGATGAAGGAAAACAGTTTTCAAGAACTCATTTTCTAGGAAAATGCTTTCCCCTTTTCAGATTGGATTTTATTTTCCTAACTTTAAGTATGCATGCTTTTTTTTACCGTAAATGATTTTCCGTTAACCGATCAGTTTTAGCATTTCAAAGGCTCGAAAGTTCATAAACTAATTCACGGAAAATACTTTCACACAAACAAATACACCCTTAATTATACATTATTTGAGCCATCATATGATGCCAAGTTTTTCCCCTCGTAAAATTCTCTCAAAGCCAGGGAGAGTTATAAATAGGGGTCACAACAGACTTAACATGTAAGTATTTGTGGAGGGCGTCCAAACCATAATCTTTGCCGAAGCCGCTCATCTTGTAGCCGCCAAAAGGACAGTCGTTGTCAAATGCAAGGTAGCAGTTTATCCAGATGGTGCCCGCTCGGATTGACCTCGAGACCGTGTTCACTAGATCTATGTTCTTGGTTAGAATCCCCGCCGCTAGACCATACCTCGTGTCGTTGGCCCTCTTGATCACCTCCTCTGTAGTCCTGCAATCCGTTGTAAAATGTTGAATGCGGCACAATATACTTTGATATTTCTCTATGTTTGTTTTAGCTACAATAGGGCTTGCTCAATTGCATCAGAACCGGGGTAGATAGTTTCGGGGACCAATAGCGGGTTGTACTCACTTGAATTTCATGAGCGACATGACGGGGCCGAAAATCTCGTCCTTCACGATCACATTGTCCTCCTGATGAAGGGAGAGAATTAGACGAAAATGCAGAACAGACGGAAGTTTAGCTACTCTTCAACAAAGGTTCATGTTCTTAACGGAATGTGCACTGGATTGATAGCGTACCGTAACATTTGTGAAGATTGTTGGCTGAATGTAGTACCCTTTGGTGCCCAGAGGTGCGCCCCCGGTCAAAAGCGTGGCTCCTTCTCTCTTTCCATGCTCGATGTAAGAAAGTATCTTCTCAAACTGTTCCTTACTGGCCTAGGATTTATCGTTATTCGTGTCAGGCTAATTGTCAACCATATGCTTTATCGCAAAATCTAGCAGGTTCTTGCTACTTGCTAGTGTTCGTTCTTACCTGCGGTCCTTGACGGACATTCGGATCAAACGGGTCACCAACTGACCAAGCCTTTGCCTTCGCCACTATCTTCTTCTCGAACTCTTCATAGATCCCTTCTTGAACGTAGACACGAGATCCCGCAACGCATACTTCTCCCTGAAACAGAGAGTTGAATCGATAAACCATCACATTTTCGAGTATCATTCGGAGCTTATCTTTTTTTTTTTTTTTTGGTGACCGAAGATCCGCCACCATTCCCCGGGGACGAGCCCGCACGGGTAATCGAGGCACCTATATCTCGGGGGAGACTAGCCCAACAACCCACCGCCAGGGCCCCCCACTTAAATTACGGAACCGAGCGGGGATTCGAACCCAGAACCTCTAAAGAGGGAAGGAAAGCACCCACCAACTCGACCATGCGCAGGTGGGTCATTCGGAGCTTATCTTTGTCTTCGCAAATCCCATAAAAAGTTCAAACACCGTACCTTGTTAACGAGGATACCCGTCAGAGCAAGATCAGTAGCGGAATCTAAATCAGCATCATCAAAGACCATAATAGGCGATTTACCGCCTAATTCAAGCGACACTTGTTTCAAATTGCTCGTCGCCGCGGCCTGCATCACGATGCGTCCTACTTCCGTTGACCCCGTAAAACTGACCTGAAGTGAAGTTTTCATGCTGCATCGGTCAAAAGCTAAAAGTCGACGAGCACATCTATACTAAGTTCAACTGATGTTATGTCATTCCAAAGAAAGTATTCAGAATCGCACCATATCAATGTCCATATGACCGCTTATCGCCGCACCGGCTGTTGGTCCAAAACCGTTTACGACATTGATCACTCCATCGGGAACACCGGCCTGATACAAAGCAAACCAAAATTTTAGGCAGAAAAATTACCTGAACAATTTCCTGGTATAGCCTCATTTTTTTCTGAAAACTGTTTTTAGGAGCAACTTTCACATGGCATAAATTATGTTCAGTATTATGTTTTCACTTGCTCTTATATTGCTGTCTTCGAAAGTTTGATTAAAAACCTGTGGAACATTATTACTATAAAGCTTAACCATCACTTCTAGACTAACGAATGAAAATTCTTTCATTTTGTCTAGTGAAACTAATTCTTAGTAATTAAGACATACTTATTAGTACAATTATATGCTAGAAAAATGACTTATTCTCTCACAAATTAATTTTTTTGACTTGGAACGACGTACCTTCTTAGCCAAGTGAGCGTAAAAGAGAGCCGATAGAGGGGTTTGCTCGGCGGGCTTCACAACCATGGTGCAGCCTGCCGCAAGTGCCGGCGCAACCTTCATCATGAACATGGTGGCAGGGCCGTTCCAAGGGATGATGTGCCCGACCACGCCAATCGGCTCCCGCAGCGTGTACCCGTGAAGGTCACGCGACATTTTCAGTACCTCGCCATGGATCTTGTCCGCTGCACCGGCATAGTACCTGAGCGACGCGACAGCGTAAGGGATTTCCATGGCCTTGGAGAAGCTGAATAGCTTCCCACCATTTATAGTGTCCAAAGCTGCCAATTCGTCTATGTTCTCTTCGATTAAGACCGCGAATTTTGACATGATCCTTCCCCTTTGCTAGTGATGAAATTTATAAACACATGTCACATAAAAATCAAAATACATGATCATTAGAATTTAGAATGAAATGTGGCTAAACTATGTGTTGGAGGTTTAGATAGAACTACATATATTTCGCCATCTGTTTATTCTTTTGGCACTAGATTGTTATGATTATGAAACGAAAATTAAAAGAAAAAAAAAACAAAAGAAAGGACTTGTATTACTAACTGAAATCGAACAATGCTACACTCATTCAAGTTGTCTCAAACTATAAGTGGCCTTTTAAACAAATGAGCCACGTTCAAGAACCTATACAGTTGACACATCGTTTTGTAAACCGATTTGTCTAGCATTTTCTATTGCGATAACACTAGATATGTATCTTCATGTATGCTTCTCTAGATGCAAGAAAATGAATCAAAAGCATATGTTCCTAGCAAAAATGGACTAAAACACATGTTGTCTATAATAACTAGTAGTCAAGAAAAACTGTACTTCTGCAGCTTTGGGAATATATTCGATAGATCATTCAAGTTGATTATGTGCTCTAGCTTCTATGATTGATTGAAGAATCTTCTTCAACATAATTACAATGAAGTGTTCAATAATGCAGATGTGATGTGAGTGGGCCCCCCCAATTTAGTGATTTCAAAAAGACAAGCAAGTAGGAAAAAGACATAAAATAATCTTATCTCCATCATTATCATGGCCGAGAAGATGCAATTAAAATACGATTTTGAGAAATTTAAAAAAAAAAATAGTTCTGTCCTTTTCCCCAATCTTGTGAGGTTAGCGTTTTGCGGGGGATCATGTTCGGCCCACCAAAAGTACCCCCACCAAAAAAATTTATATCTTTAATTGGGTGTTGAATTAGGAGGTGTATCAATCAAGATAGTATTAACAAATCACAAGTTATGGACCTTAGAAAATTGTCTTGGGTTTTGTTATGTGTGCTTTTCTGCTAATTGTGTGAAAAGACAATGTTACACGCTGTCATTATTTATAACAAAGTCTTCATATGATTGGGGAGGGAGGAGGAGAAACTGAACCGAAAAATATACCATACTATCGTATCCGTTAGATGTATCATCTAATAGTACGATTCGCATTATACCTATCTCAATCGAATTTTTTTGTTTGAGTTTCGAATCTTTCTATTCTTATTATTTGGTGCTCTTCACGTGTCATTGCTAGGTGACGTGCTGCCTGACGTTTTTGGGATATCTAGAACGGGTATTATCTTTTTCCCCTAGAAAGCCAGAAAATTCCGCTCATGACCTCGAGGGCAAGCATTGGGACACCGCACTTTACGCTCGACTTGTGAAGATTTTACATGTTAGTCACCCGTCATTTTTCTTTCTTAGCTTCAAGAGTACGCTCGAACCCGTCAACGATTCTTTAATGAAAATAGAGATCAAAGACAAACATCACACGATCAATCACTAAAATCAATTTACTAAATGATGCGTCGAATTCTAACTTCTAACCGGTTGCCTGGCTCACGAGCTCGAGGCAAGAAATGACTGTAGTCATTTCGATAAAATTATTTTTTTTTTTTTGGTCGAACCGATAAAATTAGATTCATAAGGTAATTTATGAATTAATTTTTTTAGTGGTATCATCTTTTTAATTTGATGGAAAAAGAAGATAAAAAAGGGAGGGAGGGGCGTACGTAGCCGGGCATGCGCGGCCAAGGGCCGTGGTCGAATGCTTGGCGAGCAGCTTCCACGGCCAAATCCACGTCCTCTTTGTCTCCCTCTGCAACTCTCGCCGTCACTTGTAAATTTCTTGGATCTACCGTCTCCAATGTCCTCCCTGTTCATCCAGTTTCAATCGCCATAACAAATTAGAAACCCAAGAAGAAGAAGAAGAAGAAGAAGAAGAAACCAACAAGAACGAGGCTTTGTTAGGACTGCGAGGGTAAAGACTCTCTCAAGATCAATCTTGATTCAGATAGCCCTTTTTCCTTCACATACTCTGTTTTCTGTACTTCCGAACAGAGCAATGAACTGTACTCATCAAAAAGAGAACTGCTTGAAAGAGAAACTACAGAACTGTTTGTTTTACGGCGCAACTCTACTCTGTTTCCTTCCTGCGAACGAGTGTAAGCTAAGCAAGAACAGATCTTGACGAGCAACATCTGTCTGAGAGAAGAGTGTGGGGGGAAACATGAAAAGCCAAGAAACGAATCCTCATCGAGGAAGTGCAAAGACCCGACGAGAAGCTGGCGATTTCTACCTTTGACGGAATCGACGAACTCGCCATTGATGAAGAGCTTGGTGAACTTAATCTCCGGGACATGATCATCGTAAGTCTTCAGACTTCCGTTCGCATCGCTCCGGTTCTCTGCCATCTCTCTCTTCTCTGCACTCAGAATCTCTTGCGTCATTGGCACAGGAGGGAGGGCCTCTTTTATATGATAGGTAGTCGTTTTCCTTCTCGCAATACGTAGGAGTAGCTTGGGAAGAAACACTTCTTTAGCGTTATATATTTATTGGTTATAGGCGACGAGAGAAAAAATCAGTCATCCTACATGATTAATCTAGTCTCCCCGATCTTTTGTCAAAGGAAAACCATAAGCAGACGGCACCGTCGGCATGGTCTGCGCCACATATTTTGCTAAGGAAACCGGGCAACTTGCTTGTCCGGTCTCCTTGGAATATTAATAAGGATCCCCCCGGTGAAAAGGCACCGGGAGCCCCACGTCTGACGCTCTGCTCTGCTCTGCTGTATTCCCGCTACTCTCTTTCTCTTCTCTCTATGGAAATTAAAGAAATAAATGAATGAAAAACAGGAAACATAAAACAGAGATCTCGAGGCAGTCGCAACTTCAGAGTGTCGAAATGAAACTATTCTTTACTGACCAAGAAGAAGAAGAAACACACTTCCCTCACCTTTTTCCATTTCAATCATGCCAACGAACTCGAAAAGAGAAAAAACACAGCTTCTTTCCTTCTTGATCTCCCAGCTCAAAAAAATCGTATTCTAATAGACTTGTACGATCTCAGAATTTTACAGAAAGAAAGAAAGCAAAACCATATGTATTTCCCCTGGCTTGAATAGCTCGACAAGAACTCGGAAAAAGAACAGCAAAAATAAATGCAGAAAAAAGAGCGCTGGCCAGTAATTTCCTCAAGATCGAGACTGAGTAATCGAGGATCCGGGCGGCGATGCTGTGCACGGCGAGGGCGGCGTCAGAAGGAGAAGAGGTCGGGCTCGAGGACGGGGAGCATTCGAGGGGTGGAGTTGTGGGCAGGAGGGTCGACAGGCGAGAGCCTGTGCTCAAGAGCTTGAGTAGCAAGAAGGCAGCGTTGGTGATGGCGGGGACGAAGAGGATGGCGCAGACCGGGGGGGAGAAGGCGGAGAAGGCAGAGGCCCAGTTGCCCAAAGTCGCTGGAGGAATTGAGGATGTTGCTGCCTTTGCTGGAGAGTGTCGTGGGAGAGAGATCAAGGAGGAGAGGAAGAAGAAGAAATTGAAGCGAGAGAAGAGACAGTAGAGCAGGAGCGTGAGTGGTGCAGATGAATGAAAAAGATGGAATCAGACGTGGGGCCAGTAGTCATGTACACGTGGCAACTGATAAGTGGGCTCGAGTAAATTCAACACGTATTTAATATTTTCTCTCCACTCGGTTGCCCATCCCATACGGGGTTGTCCATCCTTTTGCAAAATAAAACATGCGGTCCAGCTTGCACCGTTACAATTTGCCCGTGACGGTGCCCGCCGTTATGCTAGCCAGGTCCAAGTTAAATCACTCGGAACCCTTCGATTGCCTATGTTAAGAGTTTAAGACCTTCGATGTGCAACATAATTGGTAGGAAGATATATGCATTTGACGTGAATGGACCCATTATACTGTTGGTACTTATATGGGTGAGACTTTGCTCAAAGGTCACGTGAACGTGATTCTATTCTCTAGATTTACATATTAAGCACTAAGCTCCATAAGCTAGAGAAATGTTAAAAATATGTCTCGAATTTAAAATCGATGAACAAACACGGTCCGAATTAAATCGAATAACTGTAGCGAGCGCCGCTCAAGACGAAGAATGCGGCCGGAAGGAAGCGTGCAGCTGCAAAAGGGAAAGTCCAAAATTGCTGCCTTCATTTATTGCAAATAGTGAGGCCCTTTCTTTTGTTTTATTATGCCGAGTCTTAATTGGCGTTGGATTCTCTGAACGCGAAAGGAGAATGGCAATGTAAGTGGGACTTCTTCACGTGTGAACCGTCGTGAAGAGAGACAAAGAGGAGATGAAGTGCAATAATGATGACCATTGAATGGTCATGGCCATTGAATGATGAAGACTCTCTTCAGACTCTTCTGCATTATAAAAGAGAGTGAGAGACGTCCAACGAAGAGCAGCGCCAAGTCCTTGGTGGCCGAGAGAGCGCTAAGTCCTTTTGGTGGCCGAGAGAAGACAGATACTTCTTCTCGTGAGGATTTGTTTGTTGTAATTATACCCGAGTGATTTTAGCCAATTAAATTCTTGGAAGTAGAATTTATTTAATTCCTTGAGTGAGATTTCACTAGCAATTGTGAGGGGCTAAACACTAAGTGAATTATTGAGTGTAATTGGGGGCTGAGAAACACCGAGAGAGTGTTTGAGTGCTCGAGTAATTGTAATCTCCGTTGTATCGCTTGCTTCTATAATGGAATTCCATGCTGCTCTTCTCGTGAACGTAGGTTTCGATATTTAGACCAAATCACGTAAATTCGGTGTCCAAATTTCCTTTCCTTCCTTCCGACTATTTATTCGATCCGCTTGCCTATTATTCTCAACAAGGAAACACTTTTGTAGCGATATATATATTGGTTACAGGTGACGAGAGTAAAAATCAATCATGATACACAATTAATCTAAATTCCACGATACCCTTTTGTCGAATAACAGTAAGATAAGGGCTAGTAATTCGCACTAGCGATATTTAAGTTAAGGACATATAACGTTAAAAATGTTAGTCACTCGAAACCGTTCGATTGCCTATATTAAGAGTTTAAGACCTTCGATGTGCAACATAATTGGTGGAACGATATATGCAATCTGACGTGAATGAACCAATCTTACTGTTGGTACTTATATGGGTAAGACTTCACTCAAAGGTCATGTGAACGTAATTCTATTCTTTAGATTTATATGTTAACCACTTTGCATCATAAGCTAGAGGAAACACTTTTGTAGCAATATATATCTATTGGTTATAGGTGACGAGAGTAAAAATCAGTCATGATACTCGATCAATCTAAATTCCACGATACACTTTTGTCGAATGACATTAGATAAGGGCTAGTAATTTGCGCAAGCGGTATTTAAGTTAAGGGCATATAACATTAAAAATGTTAATCACTCGAAACCCTTCGATTGCCTATGTTAAGAGTTTAAGACCTTCGATGGGCAACATAATTGGTGGGAAGATATATGCATTTGACGTGACTGAACCAATTTTTTTGTTGGTACTTAGATGGGTAAGACTTCACTCAAAGGTCATGTGAACATAATTCTATTCTCTACATTTACGTGTTAAGCACTTTGCTCCATAAGCTAGAGGAAACACTTTTGTATCTATATATATATATATATATATATATATTGGTATATAGGTGACTAGAGTAAAAATCAATCATGATACACAATTAATCTAAATTCCACAATACATTTTTGTCAAATGATATTAGATATGGGCTAGTAATTCGCACTCGCAGTATTTAAGGGCATATAATGTTAAAAATGTTTGATCACACAATACCTTTCAATCAACTACATTAAGAGTTTAAGACCTACGACGTGCAACATAATTAGTGAGAAGATATACACAATCTAACGTGCATGGACCATATTAATTGATTGATACTTATGGGTAAGACTTCGCTCGAAGGTCATGTGAACTTAATTCTATTCGCTATATTGACGTGTCAAGATTTCGCTCTATTAGCTATGTCTACCCGTTGATTTCTCTAATTGCGATGCAAATGATGTGTGTACCATCTAGCAATATCATGGCATCTTTTGACCAATTTTCATTCGAGGATGTGGTTTCATTATATTCACAATCTTTGAAAAGTTTATCTCCACATTTTTTTTTTTTGGGTGAGAGGAAAGTTTTATCTCCGCACGTAATCGTTCCTGACAGAGAGAGAAAAAGATGGATTCCTCTTATTTCTTTCCCCTACCAAAGCACTACTCGATCAATTATTGCTCTTTCGACCACCGCTCGACTCCTCGTGGATGATATATGGAAGACTAGCCAAGTCAATGTGATGGTGGATGACGGAGGAAACGTAAGGGGTGCCGGTGATGGACGAACGAGAGATCTGCGTTCGACAACGTGTCCGCGAATGAGTACTTCCTTCTATGAGTGCTTGCGTGTTCTCTAACTTTCAAAGCGGAAATAATTACACAAATTAAGGGTGAGCGTGATCCGAACACGCGATTCCTGACATGAAATCAAGAACCGCCTACTAATGACCGATTTTGAGAAATTGGAACTGAGAATCGCCCGTTAGTTCCATAGATCCACCCAGGAACCGGACTATCGATCCAGTCCGGTTTCCGGGTGGATCCATGGAACCGGTCCCATCAAGTTTCACGCAAATAGAGGTGACCGACAGTGAGAGAGGAAGGCGATGGACGGCTAAAGGCGCGATCGTGAGTTGATGGGAGTTGAGAGTCAAGCTTTAGATTAGGGATTTTATAGTTTTCATTTTTCTAAAAATGTTTTCTTTTTTTTTTTGGTTAAAATTTTTCCAAAAAAATTATATATATGCATATATATATTACCGGTCCGGTCCGGGTGGGCGGGTGGGCAGTTCCACGGCTAGAACCGGGAACCGGATCAGTCCTCACGGGAACCGCCGGTTCCGGGCCAGTCCGGTCCGGTTCCGGGCTGTCCGAGCGGTTCCCGGTTCATTTGCATACCCTTAACACAAATAATCTCTGAATTTTATCACAATTATAATGTAGTACATGAATATTTAATTTACTTAATGTGATCAATGTACTTTAACCTAATGTGCAATGTGGTCCTGAACTAATTTGTTCAATGTGATCTTTGAACTTTTGATACATGTTAGTTCAGGAACTGGATTGAACATTTTCCAAAAGTTCATGGATCACATTAAATAAATTAAAAGTTCATGGACCATATTGCACATTGGATTAAGGTTCATGAATCAGATTGAAGAAATTAAAAATTCAGGGACCACATTATAAATCGGAGCAAAATTTAGGGATTATTTACATTATTATAACCTATCTCAATTAAAGCTCAAAACCATGTCCTTTTACTCATGAAATTCGGCAAGTCCTCCCCCATATTGGCCGAATTCTACTGTCTTTACATGCCTAGTCCATATAATTCAATTAAGTCCACTCAACACCGCCGGTCTAATTAAAATGCATTTTTATGAACTTAATTATATAATATGAAATGCAAAATACTCCTGAGACTATATGTAATTTAATTTAATTTTTTGTTTAGAGGCCAAAGTCGGTCTCTAATTTTCTAGGAAATAAATACCTGATTGAGTTGCCAAAATTTATGTGTCAATAATGACGATTTTATTTTTGAACAATCTTGATAA